ATACCCCCACTAAAATGTCATCTTTTACAGCACTGGCTGTAAGGCCAGGATCTTGTTAGCTTGAAATCAGGTTCAATAGACAATTGCAATGCTATCTTTGGTTTTTGCAATTGAGTTCAAAGATGTATGGGATATAGAGTTATACAGAAGGCCCATAACAGTACCATAGCAATTGTGAAATCTGCTCAGCACATGTCATCAGCAACTTGATTGGAGCACAGTTCTGCTCCCTGAAAAATAGTCCTCTGTGAATCTTGACTCTGCCTCTGAAGTTCTAGCTCCATCCTGTGAGTCATTCTGACTATTTCATAAGAAATAGTCCATATTTATAACAATGTATCTTTATTGGCCTGCTTCCTGCCATATAAGACTGGGATACCCCAACACGCAAAGGCTCTTTTTAATTGAACTATGTCTATTCTTTTCTGTCTATCCTGTGGTGCTTTTATTAGAACCATTCTTATAAAAACTTTGTGAGTTATCTATGAATTTTATTAAAATTAATTCCAGCCCTAACCGGTTTGGCTCAGTGGATAGAGCGTCGGCCTGCGGACTGAAGGGTCCCGGGTTCGATTCCAGTCAAGGGCATGTACTTTGGTTGCGGGCATATCCCCAGTGGGGAGTGTGCAGGAGGCAGCTGATCAATGTTTCTAACTCTCTATCCCTCTCCCTTCCTCTCTGTAAAAAATCAATACAATATACTTTAAAAAAAAAATTAATTCCATTAGACAGATGCCACATCCACAAATTTGAGATAGGCCACTTTCTACTTTGGACTGAGTGTCATGGTGCTATGGGACATCAGACTTAAGAGCCTTAGAAGGTTTTTTGACTAGCTGAGATTCTAGAAAAGTATGCCTTTAAGACTCTTTGAAGCACTTTTGTCTAGCTGAAAAGGTCTAAAAGGACTTGTCTTAAATCTTTCTGAGGTCCAACAAAGGATTTCACAGAAGATCTGATTCTTATTTGGAGGCCATTTTTTTACTGACAGCACCCTGGGATTTGAGAAGTATTAGCTAAGCAAAGGGAAGGGGGAGGATATTCCACAATGGAGGACCAGAATAAATAAAAGCACAGTCTCACTGGGGAATAGAGAAGAAAACCATCTATCTGGGTTCATGATGAGGGGAACACAAAATGAAACTGGAAGGGTAGAGTAAAGTCGAATATACTAAGAGAATTGACTACCATATTATGGAGTCTGCAATTTATGCTCTCAACTGCTGGTTTCCACTTGCTGGTCCAAATGTTACATCAGATGCACTTGGATAGCTTTATAATTACACAGCTTTACCCTAGAGATTTTAAAAGGGTGCAGTAGAATCTGTATCTAAGCAAAGTTCCCAGGTGACTCTCAGACTTAGGAGCCATTGCTCTAGGCAACAGTCAGCTGTTGACTTTTTGAGAAAGAGAATGACATAAAGGTAGGCATCTAATGAAGTTTTCAGTTACAAGCATGAATAATAAAAAGTGGTATTTTCATTGACAACTTTTATTTCTCTTTCATATTATTTCTCTCAGTGACCTACTTCACAGAATCCATGTATTTTCTGGCCATATACATCTAGAACAGAGGTCCTCAAACTTTTTAAACAGGGAGCCAGTTCACTGTCCCTCAGACATTCCACACATGCACACTGCGGGCCCGGGACGAGTCGGCTGCTAAGCAGGACAGGCAGCGGCGGCAAAAACACCCGGTGGGCCGGATAAATGTTTTCGGCGGGCCGCATGTGGCCCGCAGCCGTAGTTTGAGGACCCCTGATCTAGAAGAACCTCAATCACATCATAATCTCATCTTAACACATAACAATAATTTTGTTTATTTGGATTATTTTGTTAAGGAAGATAAGCCTAGTATATTGGAGGGCAAGGTCAGGAGATAGGAGGCTATGGACCCAGGTATGAAAAGATAAGGACCTTATCTAAGATGGTGATAGTATAAAAATGAAACGAGAGATCAAAGCACTGACACTACTAACACTTTTAGAAAAAAAAAATCACAGAAAATGTTGAGAATCAGAACAATGCTTATCAAGCATCCCTAAGATGATTAAGATCTCTCTTCACAGAAAAATTTCAGTAACAAATGTAAAAAGAATGACAGAATTAGAAATCACAATGTTTTCAATCCCTAATGTCATAACCAATTCAGTGCTTACATCTTTAAGTGAAAACAACACATCAAAGAGGCAATCAAATAAATCCAAAAGGTCAAACACTCTATAGAGACAGTATTCCAGTTTCTTTAAGATGTCAAAGGCACAATAGATCATAAAGTAAACAAGAGACTCTTCAGGATTAAAGGTGATACCCTATTTAATAAAAGGCTAATATGCAAATCAACCAAACGGCAGAACCACTGGATGCTATGACACGCACTGACAACCAGAGGGTAGACACTCAACGCAGGGGGAGCACCACTCAGCCAGAAGCCAGGCTCACAGCTGGTGAGCAAGAGGGTGCAGGCCGGACTGAGGGACCCTTCCCCCGCCCCAGAGAGTACACGAATTTCGTGCACCGGGCCTCTAGTAATAACAACCAAATATAATGTATGAACTTACTGGGATTCTGGTTGTAACAAGCCTACAGTAGAAAGACTTGGGGACAATCTGAGGCAACTGAATATGAACTGGGTGTTAGGTTATATTAAATTATTATAAATTTTGTTAGATGTAAAAAGGTTTTATGGTAATATAAAAATGTTCCAATTTTTAGACATGCATTAAATATTCTGGGGCACAACATCATGAGGTCTATAATTTAAATATTCCAGCCCCACTTCTAAATAAATGAAACAAACACAACAAAAAGTTAATAATTGCTTAAATCTACATGATAGATATATTAGTGTTCATTGTACTAATCTCTCAAATTCCCTGTTTGCCTGAAATGTTCTTGATAGATGCAAATGAGGGAAATTATTAGTAACCCTTCTGTTGCTTCATTAAGTTTCAAGTTAAAGAAGTCCTCTAAATGTTCTAGTGCACAGATACATGAATCAGATAAACCATATCTAAAACAGTCAAAATTCTGATGCATAGAATGGAAAAACCAGGTAAACTGTATCATTTCTTAATGAAACTTATGTATACCAGTGTACCATATATGCACTTTCAGGCTTCAAAAAGACATTTGGGCAAAAAAAATTCAAACTTTCCAAAAAATATATCCAACAACAAGCAATAAATGTTAACATAGTATGTTCCATCTAACACTTGACTAGAAAAACATTTTCTACTGAAATAAAGTAGAAAAATGATTATGTAACTTACTATTTACCAGTTAATACTCATTTAAAAAGAACTAAAGCCTATTTTATTAAGTAACAACACCAAAACCTGACAAGTTATACAGACAGTATAAAACTCTAAATTTACGTTTTTAAAATACTTGATAACTTGAATACATATATTAGCTTTCTAACACCAAATTTAAGTTCTTGGTTTTAAAAGCAGTAGTCTTTCCACCACAGCTATCAGTAGTAACCTAGGAGAGTTTAAAGCATTTGACTAAATAAACTTTAGCTAAGGAGTAGAATCCAATAAATAAAACTTATTTAAGATTTAGGAAGTGAAATCTATGATCCCTGGGAATCCCCAAGACTCTTTTAGAGGGTATAGAAAGTTAAAACTATTTCATAATACTTTTTCATTGCATTGACACTTCTACTTAAGGTACAAAAGCAGTGTTGGGTAAAACTGCCAGCACTTCAGCACAGATCAAGGCAGAGGCACCAAACTATAGTAGTAGTCACTGCTTTCTTCACTGCCATGAACTTGTAATAACTGGCCAGTTTCACTTACAAATGTCCTTGATGAAGCAGTAAAAATTATTAATCATAAACCCTGAGTACAGGTGGTTTTAATATTCCATGTGAAAAAGGAGAAATATGTTTAAAGCACTTCTTTATACTATATTTTAAAATGTGTCAACACTTGGTAGATCTGCATAATTCAGTGAGCAACTATTTTCCAATGACTAATGCATAATGTTTCAAAATCATATATGAGTAAATAGCCATTCAAAGTTCAAGATAGATCAGTGGATTTTAATTCAACAGAGTATAAAAAGCTTACTGATATGGTTTCAGATTCCAGATTGCAATGAACATTTAAGAAACTACCACTTGTCAGTTTTGGTGCAGTATCAAAGAAGAATATCTACAGTTATGTATAAAAGGTATTACTGTCAATACTCATATGTATGAGGCCAGATTGTCATCATATAGTATTTCAATTAAATCATCACATCACAACACTGACTACAGAAGCAGATATAAAAATTCACGTGTCTTTTTTAAAGCTAGAAATGAATTTTCAGAAACTATAAAATAATACTTCTCAATCAAAAATTAGTTTTGTCCCTCAAGGGACATTTGGCTATGTCAGGAGATATTTCTGATTGTCATAACTGGGGAAAGTGCTACTGCCATCTAGTGGGTAGAGGCCAGTGATGCTGTGAAACATCCTACAATGTACAAAACAGATCATCCAGCCCAAGAAGTTAATAGTGCCAAGGTTGAGGAAACCTGCGGGAAAAGAATACCACTCTTCTCACATAGTTATTTTCATAAAAAATGTGTTATTCATAGTCACATATAATGGGTTTACTATTATAATATTAAATGAATAATAAACAATTTAAAAAATTCTTAGTTTTAGTTTACAATATAGTAAATGTCAATAGGTTAGCTCACATAAACAAAAGCTCTTTGGCTTCTTCAATAATTTACCAGTGTAAAGGGGTCCTGAGACTAAGAAATTTGAGAACCAATAATTTGAAGAATGGTATAACTAACAAAGTATGCTAGAGAATATAAGAGAAATTAAAAGACTCAAAAGGAAAATGTACTCATTTCAAGAATAGTATGTATGACCAAAACAAACAAAAAACCCCTATAAAGCTAAAGGGTTCAAAAGATAAAAGTTATGATAGATCCAAAATGTAATTCTTCCCTTAAAAAACAACAACACAAAACACATTCAAACCACAACTCTTACCCTGACTATGAAGGCTTGCAGGACTAAAAGATGGCTGACACAAGTCTTTGGTTGGAGTTGGATAAGCTTCTTTCCCTTGGCGCTGAGTCATCTTTCCTGGTGTCAGAAGTTGAGATTCTTCACTGTTTGCTATAACAGCTCAAGAAAAAAGGGAAAAAGTATTAGAACTTCAGCGCTAAATTTACACAATGGCTAGTTAATAACATGGAACAGAACTATGATTGAACCTGCCTCAATGTTTGTTAATTTTATCAACTCAATACTTTAATAAATTTGCATAATTGTTTTTCTTTTACTTTGTTTTCAATTCCCCCAAAATTGATAGGTATGTATGAGTAAAAGTATACAAATTATGGAGATTATAAAAATGAAAACATATTCAATTGATAAGAAAATGTACTGCAAGATTTACTGTGCTATTAATATTAACTCTTTATAAGCAAAAGCCATTTCACAGAAGAAATACAAATGGTCAATAAACATATGAAAAGATACTCAACCTCATTAGTGATCAGAAAAAATACAAATAGTAGTATAAAATAATGTTGTACATTCATTAGAATTTCTACTCTAATTTCTAATTTTCACAGGTAGTAGGTATAATTCCTGTTCTAGAAATGGGAAACTTGAGGTTCAGAAATTGCCTCGTCTAAGACTAAGTAATAGAGGTAAGATTCTAACTCAGGATTTGGTTCCAACGTCTGGCTCTTAAAAGCTTGCTGCCCCAATAACCAGTTTAAATAGTGTTTCAGGCTGCTATTCTCCCACTTGGCCAAGCTACAAATAGAGGAAAGCAATGCCCAGTTCCAGAGAGAACAGAAAAAAAGAAAAATACTCAATGAAAGAATAGGGCAAATAATTGTGAGCAACACCACAGTGTCCTAGGATTTCCACATCCTTTTATTTTATGTTTTTGTGCTTTCAGTCTACAAAGGCTTTAGTTTTATTTTGAGCGAGAATGATTCTGTCTTCACTCTAAATTTTTAACTTAACCAGAACTTCATGTTTGCATTTCAATCATACCGTTTAATCAAATTGCTTTATCATGTTTTCTACTGTGCTGTTTTCAAAATTATATTTTAGCTCCTTAAATTTCAAAAATACTTCCATTTATCATCCAAGACATAAAAAAATTATTTCCCCATCAAGTCCATTAAAAAAAGAATCTACTCACTGATGACTCCAAAATTTATATATCTTCTCCTGAACACAAACTCACATATCCAATTGCCTGCCTTATAACTGCCTCTATTCTTTTAATTTTTATTAAAATTTTATTATTTCGGGGGGGGGAGATAAATATCAACAATGAGAGAGAATCATTGCTGCCTCCTGCACGCCCCACACTGGGGATCGAGCTTCACCCCATGCATCTGCCCTGACTGGGAATCGAACCAGTTACCTCCTGGTTCATAGGTCGATGCTCAACCACTGAGCCATGCCAGCTGGGCTAATTGCCTCTATCCTTTAATAGGCAACTCAAATTTATCCAGAACGTAATTCTTGATTCTGTTTATCTTCCAAACCTGCCTCTCTCTAATTCAGTTAGTGGAATCACTATTCCCTTCCACCTTGTTCTCAGGCCAAAAACCTTAGATGTATTATTCAATGTTCCTCTTTCACACTTCACATCCCATTTATCTCTGAGAGCTTTATATTCTACCTTCAAAATTTATCTGGAGTCCTTCTATTTCTCCCCACTTATACAACTACCACCCTGTTCCAAGACATTATTACCTTTCCACTGGATCACAGCATCAGATTTCTACCTAGAGACCAGACTTAGGGCTTATTCCTGCTTGTGCAGAGTTCATTCTCTACATGGAAGCCCAAGCAATCTTTGTAAACCATAAATCAGATCTGCATCATGCAGAAGTCTTCTCAATGGCTCATTACACCTATAATAAATTCCATGGCCTAAAGATTCAAGAGTGTCTGGCGCCCATTATCTTCCCAACCTAATTCTCTACCATTCTCCTCTTTACTCCTTGGCTCCCAGTCATAATGGTCTTCTTGGTATTCCTCAAAACACACCATCTTGCCCCAATCTCTGGGTTTTTATACTTCTTGTTCTCTCTACCCGAAATACTCCTACCCCACATCTTCTCACTATTAACCCCTCTCATCATTTGTGTTCAAACGTCATCTCCTCAGAAAAGCCCTTCATGGTGCCTTTTGATAAATAAGTTCCCATTTTAATATAGTATAATGTATCAATTATTTTATTTTTTCCCACTAGTGCCCATTCCACCAGTTATACTCTAACACTTTACATGATTTTTATTATGCTTTTATTACATGCTTTCATTAATCTATAAGTTCCATAACAGAAAGAAATTTTGTCTTATTTTCCCATAATTCCCGAGTCCTGGTATGGTCCTGGCATACTGAAGGTGTTCAACAAAATTTTGTTGAATGAATCAATTAACAACTTTTATAGTTTTATGAAACTTCATTATGAAAAAGTATATGATGTCTCCTTCAATTACTGAATCCAAGATCCATTTAACTCCTAAAAATTATTATTGATTAAAAATGTATGTTGCTGATGTAGAAAGACAAATTGACCTAAGGAATCTAACAGAGAGCTCACAGAAACAAACCCATGGTTGTGGAGTCCAGATATACAATAAAGGTAGGGAAAGAAAAGACTATTTAATTACTGATACTGGGAAAATTGGTTATCCAAATTGGAAAAATAGGTCCCTACCCTCAAACCACACATAAAGAATAATTTTATGAAAATTAAAGATATACATGTAAAAAGCAAAACTTGAAAACTTTTATAAGAAAATATAAGAGAGTATATTTATAAACATGGGCTAAAGAATGATTCCTTAAAAAAAAAAAATAAACACAAAGCATTAACCATAAAAGAATTGATAATTTCCACCACACTAAACAAAAAAAAAGGTAAGACTTAATTTAATCAAAAGAAAACAAAAAGAAATTAAAAACAAAAAACAGTAGAAAATATCTGCAATATATAATTAACGAAAATCTGTAACACATATAATTAGTATCCAGAATGTTTTCTTTTTTAAAAAAAAAACAACCACTACTCATAAATAAATTTGAAAAAGACCAACATTGCAATATAAAAATGGGGGAATATGCATCAAAAAGTATAAAATACCAAGAAGTAAATTTAACCAAGGAAGTGAAAGACCTGTACAGTAGTCTCCCCTTATCCATAGTTTTGCTTTCCACAGTTTATTACCCGCGGTCAACTGCAGTCTGAAAATATTAATTGGAGAACTCCAGAAATAAACATTCTGAGTAGCATGATGAAATCACATGCCATCCCACTCAATCCCATCTGGGATGTGAATCATGCCTTTTTCCAGCATATTCATGTTGTCTGTACAATATAATAAGATATTTTAAGAGACCACATTCACATAACTTTCATTAGAACATATTGTTATGTGTTTTATTTTATTATTAGGTATTGTTGTTAATATCTTACTGTGGCTTATTTATAAGTTACATTTTATCATAGGTTGTATGTATGTATGTATAGAAAAAAGCATAATACATATGGGTTTGGTACTATCTGCGGATTCAGTCATCCATCGGCAATCTTAGAATTTATCCTCAGTAGATAAGGAGGAACTACTGTACACTGAAAACTGTTAAGACACTGATGAAAGAAGTTGAAGAAGATATAAATATATTGAAAGATATTCCATGCTGATGGAATAGAAGAATTAACACTGTTAAAATGTCCATACTACCCAAAGCAATCTACAGATTCAATGCAATACCTATGAAAATTCTAATGGCATTTTTCACATAAATAGAACAAATAATCCTAAAATTTGTATGGAACCACAGAAGACCCTGCAGAGCCAAAGCAATCTCAAGAAAGAACAAGACTGAGGTATTAAGCTCCCAGATTTCAAACTATATTACAAAGCTACAGTAATCTAAACAATATGGTATTAGCTATAAAAAAAGTCATACAATCAGTGGAACAGGATAGAGAGCCCAGAAATAAACCCATACCTACATGGGCAACTAATTTATGACAAAGAAGCCAAGAATATACAATGAGGTAAAGGACAGCTTCTTCAATAAGTAGTCCTGGGAAAAGTGTATAGTCACATACAAAAAATGAAACTAGACTGCTGACACCTTACACAAAAATTAATTCAAAATGAATTAAAGACTTGAATGGAAGACTGAAACCATAACACTCCTAGAAGAAAACATACACAATAAGCTCCTTTACTTGGTGATGATTTTTGGATCTGACAATAGCAAAAATAAATAAATGGGACTACATCAAACTAAAAAGCTTCCACACAGCAAAGGAACCATCAACAAAATGAGAAGATAACAACTAAATGTGAGAAAATATTTGCAAATCAAATATCTGATAAGTGGCTATATATCCAAAATATATAAAGAACTAATACAGCTCAATAGCAAAAAAGAAATAAATCCTAATAAAAATGGACAGAGTATCTAAATACACATTTTTTCCAAAAAATACACAGATGTTCAACAGGCACATGAAAAAGTGCTCAACTTCATTAATCATCACATAAATGCAAGTCGTAACTACATAAGACATCATCCTACACCTCTTAGAATGACTATTATTTTTAAAATCAAGAAATAAAAAGTGTTGGCAAGGATGTGGAGAAAAGAAAATCCTTTGCACTGATGGTGGGAATATAAATTGGTACAGCCACTATGGAAAACAGTATGGAGGTTCCTAAAAAAATTAAAAATAGAACTAACATATGTCCCAGCAATTCCATTTCTGTGTATTTACCTAAGAAAATGAGAACACTAAGTTGAAAAGAAATATGCTCCCCCATTTTCACTGCAGCATTATTTACAATAGCCAAGGGAAGTGTCTATCAATGGGTAAATGGATAAAGAAAATGTGGTTCCTATAAACAATGGAATATTACTCAGCATTAAAAAGAATGAAATCTTTATATTTGGGACAACATGGATGGACCTTGAGAGCATTATGCTAAGTGAAATAAGTCATACAGAGAAAGACAAATAAGGTATGTAGAATCAAAAAGGACAAACAACAAAAAAACTTAGCTTATAGATACAGAGAAGAGACTGGTGGTTGCCAGAGGTGAAGAGGTTGAGAGGGGTTGCAAAATGGGTGA